GCATTTCAAGGATCCTAAGGGGTAGTATCGATGGGCCTTTGGAATAGCTGCTGTGGACACAGACAACATTAAGCAGCTGTCTGTTTTGCCTGGCCTGTCAGAAGATCCGTCTGCGGTGGGGCTGCTGCGAGTAAAAGAGTAACAGGTACCAATTGCCACAAAAACAGTGCACAGGCGGCAGTATCGCACCAACAGGGATTCCTTGCTCCTCATTCATAAGTTAATTCGTCAACTAGAGAGCCAGGGAGTGATCAGCAAAACTCACTCACCGTTTAACAGCCCCATATGGCCAGTGCGTAAAGCCAGTGGAGAATGGAGGCTGACGGTGGACTACCGTGGCCTGAATGAAGTCACACCCCCACTGAGTGCTGCTGTGCCAGATATGTTAGAACTCCAATATGAACTGGAGTCAAAAGCAGCCAAATGGTATGCCACCACTGACATTGCTAATGCCTTTTTCTCCATTCCTTTGGCCAAAGAATGTAGGCCACAGTTTGCTTTCACCTGGAGGGGCATTCAGTATACCTGGAACCGTTTGCCCCAGGGATGGAAACACAGCCCAACCATTTGCCATGGGTTGATCCAAACTGTATTGGAACAGGGCAGTGCTCCTGAACACCTGCAGTACACTGATGATATCATTGTGTGGGGCGATACAGCAGAAGAAGTCTTCATGAAAGGAGAGCGAATGATCCAAATTCTTCTGAGTGCTGGTTTTGCTATTAAGCGAAGCAAAGTGAAAGGACCTGCCCAGGAGATTCAGTTCCTAGGCATAAAGTGGCAAGATGGCCGTCATCCCATACCAACAGATGTGATCAACAAAATCACTGCTATGTCTCCACCCACTAGCAAAAGAGAGACACAATCTTTTCTGGGTGCAGTGGGCTTTTGGAGAATGCATGTTCCAAACTACAGCCTCATTGTAAGCCCCCTTTATTATGTGACGCAAATGAGAAATGAGTTTACACGGGGCCCTGAGCAGCAGCAGGCTTTTGAACAGATTAAGCAGGAAATAGCCCGTGCTGTGGCCCTGGGGCCAGTACGGAGGGGACAGGGTATAAAGAACATCCTCTACACTGCTGCTGGAGAGAACGGTCCCACTTGGAGTTTGTGGCAAAGAGCCTCAGGAGAGACCCGAGGCCGACCCCTGGGATTCTGGAGTCGAGCCTACAGGGGGTCGGAAGATGGCTACACTCCAACTGAGAAGGAGATCTTAGCCGCGTATGAGGGGGTTCGGGCTGCTTCTGAAGTAGTTGGTACTGACACACAGCTTCTTCTGGCACCTCGACTGCCAGTGCTGAACTGGATGTTTAAAGGAAAGGTTCCCTCCACCCATCATGCAACTGATGCCACTTGGAGCAAGTGGATTGCACTGATTACACAACGAGCACGGATGGGGAACCTCAGCCGTCCAGAAATCCTAGAGGTCATCATGGACTGGCCTGAAGGTAAAAAGTTTGGAACACCACCGGGAGAAGAAGTATCACGTGCTAAAGAAGCCCCACCATACAATGAACTACCAGAGAATGAAAAGAAATATGCCCTCTTCACAGATGGATCGTGTCGTATTGTGGGAAAGCATCGCAGATGGAAATCTGCTGTGTGGAGCCCCACACGACAAGTTGCAGAAGCCACTGAAGGGAAAGGTGAATCAAGCCAATTTGCAGAGGTAAAGGCTGTCCAGCTGGCCTTAGATGTCGCTGAACGGGAGAGGTGGCCAATGCTTTATCTTTACACTGACTCATGGATGGTGGCAAATGCCTTATGGGGGTGGTTACAGCAGTGGGAGCAAAATAACTGGCAGAGAAGGGGTAAACCTATTTGGGCTGCTGAACTGTGGAAAGACATTGCTGCCTGAATAAAGGATATGGTTGTAATGGTGCGTCATGTAGATGCTCATGTGCCCGTGAGTTGGGCTACTGAAGAACAGCAAAATAACCATTAGGTAGACCGAGCTGCCAGAATTGAGGTCGCTCAAATAGACCTGGACTGGCAGAACATGGGTGAACTATTCCTAGCTCGGTGGGCCCATGAGACCTCAGGTCATCAAGGGAGAGATGCAACATACAAATGGGCTAGAGACCGAGGGGTGGATTTAACTATGGATGCCATTGCACAGGTTATTCATAACTGTGAAACATGTGCCATCATCAAACAAGCCAAGAGGATGAAACCTCTCTGGGAGGAAGGGCGATGGCAAAAGTACAAATATGGGGAGGCATGGCAGGTTGATTATATCACCTTGCCACGATCTCGCAATGGTAAGCATTATGTGCTTACTATGGTGGAGGCAACCACTGGGTGGCTTGAAACATATGCAGTACCCCATGCTACCACCTGAAACACCATATTAGGGCTTGAGAAACAAGTCCTGTGGCGACATGGCACCCCGGAAAGAATTGAGTCAGATAATGGGACTCGTTTCAAAAATTCTCTTGTGGATACTTGGGCCAGAGAACATGGCATTGAGTGGATTTATCATATCCCCTATCATGCACCAGCCTCTGGTAAAATTGAACGACACAATGGATTGTTAAAAACGATGCTAAAAGCACTGGGTGGTGGAACATTTAAGCACTGGGAGAAGCATTTGGCAGAAGCCACCTGGTTAGTCAATACCAGAGGATCTATCAATCATGATGGTCCTAACCAATCTAGTTCTCTACATACCATAGAGGGAGATAAAGTCCCCGTTGTACATGTAAAGAACATGTTAGGAAAGGCAGTTTGGGTTCTTCCAGCTTCTGGAAAGGGCAAACCTCTCCGTGGTACAGTTTTTGCCCAGGGACCAGGATCCACTTGGTGGGTAATGCAGAAGAATGGGGATGTCCAATGTGTACCACAAGGAAACTTGATGCCAGGGGAGCGCAGTCAGTAATTCTATGTATATATATATATATATAGTCATGTGTGAGTAATGCATTTTAATCATTTTTTGTTTGTTTGTATATATATGTGTATATATTTTAAGCATGATGTAACGATGTAGAATAAGGGGTGGAATGTCATGGTTCTATGTTTTTATGGTTTCAGTATTCCACATCAAAACATCATGTAGTATACGGGGCATTAAAGTGTTACTGCCCCAGTCCCAGGTACCTATCCCTGTACATTACAGCAGTCACGGGATCTGACCCTTCCGGGTGGGGGTGGGGCGCTCTCTTGCTGCCTGGCAGTGGGTGCTGGAGGGTGCTTTCCTAGCCGTTCCAAGCTTTTCAGGTTCGAATCGGTCCTGGGAACTCTCTCTCTCTCTTATCTTGTCTGATTTATTAATCTCAATTTCAATTAAATTGTATATTGTGTTATTTTGTATTCCAATATTATAGTAAAATAAGTTTTCCTCCATAGATTGTTGCTGCTGTTCTTTTCCTCCCTTCCTTCCTTCCCATTTTTGTGGGACTGGGGTGGGGGGGAGGCAGAGGCCTGTCACCCCTGTCACGGACATAGATTGATCTGGTCAACTCCGTAACAGCTCCTGTCTGGAGGGAAACAAAAAAACAAACAAAAACAAACAAAAAAAACCTACTTTTTTTTTTCGGTTGAGTCACGATGGCTAGTTTCCACTTATGGCATCAGAAGGATAGACTACCCTATTCAAGGTAGGTAGCAGCAACATAAATACAGCCCAAAAAGTGATCCAACAAAATCACACCCGTGAGGTACAAGCCATAGGGCAGAGCTTGGATGCAGTGCTCTGATATTCTGCCTTTGCAAAGGCAGTGCTAGTACATTTTCCTTCCACTAACTTGTACTTCACCATTAGCAAAATGGAAACAAGAGGCTTTAGAATGGTATGGTTTCAGATTGTTCTTTAGTGCTGCTCAGAAATTTTTCAGTGGAAACTAATCTCTAAACATTCACACAGGAATTTGCTGGCATTTCCCAAAGCCTTTAGTAGGATGTTGAGGGATCCGTAGGTTTGAATGTGCTCTTCCTGAGCACCTCCACCTTCCTAGAAACCAGCTCACAGATAGACCAGGCATTTTCCTCATATGCATGGAAGGGTTATTCATCGGAAAAGTACCAAGAGGAAAAGCAGTCTAAAACAAGAGGAACAACCCTTTTCATGCGTCAAGATCAGCAAAAGCAAAACTCAGTGATCTGAAGTTTGCCTTGCATTTCGGAAAATGGCACAGGTTGGTTTTAATTGGCTTTAGCCTCTTTGGATAGCTTTACTTCTCTCATTGAGCTTTCTTTTTCTCTGGGAAATTTCCTGCTCCTGCTCCCAGCTAATCTGTCTTAGGACCCTCCTTAAAATACAGCTTTGTGACTGTATGCAGAGCAGGGAAGTGAAATTCTAAGTCTCACTGCTTTAAAGCTAGAAAGAATACTGCTAACAATACACAACTAGTCCAAAGAAACCTCAAATGCAAAAGAACCTGCAACTACTATGAATAATTTTGAAGACTTTGCAAAAAGCCTGATTTTATTAATAATGACTGCTATTATCAAAGAATAATATGCATATCTCTGTCTGAGATAGCTATCTGAATCAGAGAATACAAACTTAGTAGGCAACTCAATGCTTGATTCAGTCGGAGAGTTATGGTAGCTGCCTGTTCTGATCTTTTGGAAGTTGCAAACTGGCCAGCTCACCTGTTCCTCCCCCACAGGCTGGAACAGGTATAAACATGCCTGTAACGAAGAGACAGTTGTAATATCCTATTTATTTCCCATTAAGAACCAGCCCAGTGTAGGCTTAGGTAGCTGGATGGGCCAGCAGAACCTGTCCGTGTCTTCCTGCCACTACCAGACCACTGCTCAACCTGGGCCTGGAGGCACCCTGGGGTAAAGGGCTCTTTTCTAGCCCCCACTCACTAGCATGGCCAACACCAGGGCTACAAGCTGCTCCAGGCTGCGTTCAGCAGTGGTGGTTAAACCCAGCAGGTGGATCAGTACCACAGTCACTCACTCATTCCCACCTCTTCCCAGTGGGACTGGGAAGAGAATTGGGAAAGAAAAAAAAGGTGGAACTTGTGCATTGAGCTAAAGCTATTTACTAAGAGAAAAGGAATGTAGTTATGACTAAATGCATATAACAAATGCATATAACAAGCAGTACACAAGCAATTGCTCACCCAGCAAATGCCCAACGAGCCCCCCAAGTGGAAGAGAGCGAGATGAACTCCCATCACCTTCAGAACTCCTTCCACATGATGTCACATGGTATGGAATATTCCTTCGACCAGCTTCAGTCAGCTGTCCTCATTCTGTTCTCTCCCAGATCCCCAGGTCCTTCACTGAGCATGGCCTTGCCTCTGTACATCACTGCGTCACTTATGCCCTGTCCCTGGAGGTGTTCAAGGCCAGGCTGGATGGGACGCTGAGCAGCCTGGGCTGGTATTAAATGTGGAGGTTGGTGGCCCTGCCTGTGGCTGGAGATTCATGATCCTTGAGGTCCCTTCCAACCCTGGCCATTCTGTGATTCTGCAGCTATTAACACTGATGTTTGACACTCTGAAGAAAATAATTCCATCCCGGCTCAAACTAGCCACCTGTACATTATGGTCTTCCCTAGAGAGAAAGAGACCCCTAAAACAAACAGGAAGGACTAAGGGTTGGCCCACGTGCTCTCCGCTGCAATGATGCACCCACCAGGCCTCTGGGGGCTGGCCTGGTTCTAATGTCTTCAGGGCCATTTCTGTGCTGTGTCACTTCTTTGCATCTCACCAGCTCTTCCCATTCTAGATTTTCCCTTGGGCCCAGAAGCAAAGAGTGAGGAAGACGGAAAGCCACAGATGTGTATCGTTGAATTTCTGTTTGGATAGATCCCAGAAAGGAGCACCAAGTACTAATGAACAGTTAAGGAAACATTTCTTTGTTTTGTCATTTCTTTGTTTCATTTCACCACATCATTGAGCTTCAGAGGTTTTGCCAATGAAGAGAAAGATCTGCTTAGTTGCTCTGCTTAGACTGAAGCAGCTCAGATCCTGAACCCCTTCAGATCCTGACCATTAAAATCAAGGGATCCCCACTGCCAACCCTTCAATAAGGTCTGGGAAATGGTGAATCCTGGCTCCACCCCTTCTGGTCACCCATGTTCATCGCTTACACCTAAGCTCCCTGCTTTCCTACCAGGTGCTCAATCATTATTTCAGGCCATGACTTAGCATTTCTACTACATAAGATCTCTCCCTGGAGTAGATCAAAGAGTCAAGTCAATCATGGAGTCATAGAATGGCTTGGGTTAAAAAAAAAAAAAAAAAAGTAGAAGATCATCTAGCCCCATACCCCTATTTCTATTATTCCCTTGAGCTGGGCTGCTACAGGTCAGATGAATCATTTCAAACAAGCACTGTCTCTCTCGCAATATTTGAAGATAAGCATGTGAGATCCTCAGCTACGCAGCATTAGCTGTTTGATTCCTGTGCATTATCTACCTGCTGAGGATAATGCACACCTTCCAAAACAAAAGGGTCAATTCTACACATACCGGTGACCAAGATGTCTGTGGGACCTGTAGGTTGAAAGGATTTTTGCTTTCATCTTTGCAGCCATCTCTCCATCCCTTTGTGCACTGTCAGTATGGACTGCCCTACGGTGCTATGCACAGAGCTCCACTTGCTTGCTGATGATCACCCTTATCTCCATTTGGGAGACATGCAGGTGTGTCTCACCCAATGCTGATGGATGGGGAGGCATTTTCCCAGAAGAGGTAAAGGGAGTTGATTAACCTATTTACAAGCCAAAAACTCACACATCACTTGTTAGGGGTAAGGTGTGCAAACGTGATATGCCAGACTCCTGTCTTTGCCACCACGTGTGCAACATCAGTGATGGTTTAACAGATGCCATCAGTGCTGCCTGCACTAATAAATGATGCATCTATTTGGGAACTAATGTCTCCAGTAAGACAGCATCACACAAATCACCTTCAGCTTTTGCAATTTCAGCCTCCTTCCTACACACTTGTCCCGCCGTTTGTTGCTTATAAAGGTAAGGAGCTTTGGGCACAGAGATACCAGTATAACTGCAATTTCTCCCTCAAATATACAGCTCCTTCTTACTGCTTCAGACTGGATCCATCCCTACCTGAGCCTCTGCAGCTACCTGGCCCACCATATCCTTAGGCTGAGCAATGCATCCGTATGCCTTTTTATGCCTTTCCCTGGTGTCAATGCCTTTTGGTTTTTTAAAACCACCAATAAAGGGATGAAATGCAGATCGGAAGTCACCCAAGAGATGACACTGTTCTGTGGCTTTATTTCAGCAGCCTGCACAGCCGTCTGTCAACATGACCACTGCCAAGGCAGGATTAGATGAGCCACTGCAATGACAGCAAATAATTGTGAGAGGCCCCCTGCTTCCCATTGGATCTGTGTTGCTCCAAGCAGCCCTGTAAAATGCCAGGTACCACTCCCACAGAGTTCCCTGTTTGACAGGGACATGAAGAATTCACGTGAGTAGTAGACTCCAAAGTTTTCCTTCTGCTTTTATCATGATCTTTCCATAACCAGCCTGCAGCATGCTCAGCTATGGGGAGAAGACCCCATTCCCAACAGGGTTTTGGGAAACAGCTAGGAAATACAGCACCCACAGAGAGTAAATCCTTCCAGAAAGTGTGGCTCTCAAGGCCATCTCTCCTTGCCAACCCGGAAGCAAGGAGCAGAAGCACCCAGTGGAACTCCCTGTAGCCACGGCTGGTTGGAAACTGCTGTGTGGATTAAAGAAGTTTTGTCAGCTTTGGCTGTGGATCAGCCTTTCACAGAGCTCATCCCTGGCTCTCACTTACCCAGCAAACACAGTTAAGGCCGTCAGTGCTTTTTCAGTGAGGTTTACAGCTACACTTCTGCTCTGCTTTTTGGACTTAAGTGCAGCTAGCAAAAATATGCTCAGGCATAGATGGAGCCTGGCTCTTGTTCTAGCAACTCTCAACTGGGAATAAGAGTTACTTTTTTATAGCTGATGTGTAGCTCAAAGTTCACCATAAATGCATGTGCATCAAGAGCACAGTGTATATTTTTCTGCAAGAAAATTAGACTTGGACCTCCATGAGACTCCAGAAAAGCTAATTTCATTATTCAAAGAGTGAGTGCAATCAAGACAGAATTACCCCTCTGGTCTCCTCCAAGCAGGGATTTCTTTAACACCCATGGGTTTGGGATGTATGTTTTGCTCATCTGCACACACAGATGGACGCAGAAAATCTGGGCATGGCAAGATGCCCCATATCAGCTTTTTTCATCAGGACATGAGCTGTGTACTGTACCCCTTCAACAGTCAGCCATGGTGCCAAGGCACACTCATGTCACCAAATACTTCCACCCACTTTGTGTGGGTGGCTTAGGATTTTATAACCTCCAGAGAAAACCAGAAGCAAGAAATGATGCATTTTCTGAAAAAAAATTTCTAGAACAGTTCATGCAGGAATGGATCATTTTCTTACTGACCAAACTCAAAAGTAATACTTGCAGGCAAGTAAGGAGAGAGGAAAGGTCCCATGAGAAAACTTCAAGCATATATTTTTAGGTAGTTTTGAGCAAAAGGACAGAATATAAGACGTATCACATTCCTTTACCCACTATGGGGAATGGCCACAAGCATGTCCGTCATTTGCCCAGTAGCTAGGACTTGGGGTGTTGAGCTTGGAAGGTAGTGAAAGAGTGGTCTGAGTTCACCTCCTCCTCCTTTGCCCCAGTTCTACATATATATGAGATCCATATCCCAGCACTCACTGAGCATTACTTGCCAGCATTTCTTTTTCACCCCTTCTGGACTGAAAAAGGCAGAGGATGGCCAAATCTGACCAGGGCTCTGTGCGCATGTTGTAAGCATCACTTCCACAATCAAAACACACCAGGGAAATGAAAGCTCAGCAAGCACTGCAACAGGGTGTGCTCCGTTGTAAATCGTGACGTGCATGATACCCTGGTGCAGAGATCTTCAGGGCGATAGTGCTGAGAAAGAAAGGACATTTCCAGCACCAGCACAGGTGAAGGAGGAGGTGCCATTGGGTTTGGCAGGAACCCTGTGCCCAAAAGATAATTTCCCGCTGAGCTGTGGTTCACCACAGTGTCCTCGTGACCAGTGTGGAGCAGGCTCTATTCCTACAGCTGCACACACCTCCCTGCCCTGCTGAGCCCTGTCCCCATGTTTGGAGCCATTCAAGAGGAGAGGGAAGCCAGGAACTGCTCAGTGCACTAGGCTTTTCCCTGCTGGACATCATGCCCAAGATACCCAAATACCGTGATGCTCAGGAATATCATTACCAAAGGTGCAAGAGAAATGTTAGAGTTCAGCAAAATCTGGGCAAGTCTCACAGCAGGGCCACATAGTGAGATGGGCAGAGTGGCAGCAGGCAGCTCCAGATTTGAGGGTTTCAGCTCTGCCACACAAAGCGGCTTATGAACAGAACATCCGAGCCAGAGCCTGGATTAAGCCAAAGCCAGCTATGGCCCCACAAGAATCTCGTCACAGAGGCTCAGCTCCCAGCAGCTTGGGAAGAGCTCTCATTGCCCCTGGCCCCACGCCAACTTCCTGGTCACGCTGCACTTTGCAGCACTGGGCAGCCAAGCAAAGCATCCCCAAACCTGGAAAGCAGGCTTTGGCTGTAGGGAGGTGTCACAGTGCCATGGAAACCCATTGTGTGTTTTCTGCTGGGAAGCACCTCCCATCCGCAGCTGCCTCTTAAAAACTAAAAAACAAACAAACAAACAAAAACACCTAAACTAAATCAACCTCAATTTATTTTTACACGCTTGCACAAAATTATGGCCTCATTAAAGGGATCCAGTTTATGAATTGAGGAGCTGTGCACCCATCATCTCTTCCTAGCTCTTGTTAGAAATGAGCTAAATTCCTATAAAATGCATCCAACACAACATCTTTATGTCTTCCAAGAGCAATGTGTATTTTATTTTACAGCTCTGAGAGTTACTCCAGCTAACAGCCTCCATGTGACCTGTGCAGGCAGGATGGCAAGATGTTTGCCTTGCAGCCTGGCAGAGGCAGCCTGGGTGAAGTAATTGGGATGAGGCTGTGCCTGGCCACAGCAGAGAACTGGAGGTCTTCAGAAGAAGCTATGGGCTTGGGCTGCTGGATACGTCCCCAGCTTCTTGTCTGAGAGCTAGTCCAAGACTAATTCAGCCTGCAGCAGGATGCTCTCCCACAAGGCTTACCTCTTCTCATCACAGCCCATATGGATACTATCCGCACCCAGCTTCTGTCCTGAGGGACCCATGGGACACCAGACAAGCAGAGCTGCACTTGCTGGAACTGGATATTGGATTTCAGATTACAGAATCACAGAACTGCAGGAGTTGGAAGGGACTTCAAGAGATCATCAATACAACCCTCCTGCTAAATCAGATTCTCTACAAGAGTTTGCACAGGTAGGCATCCAGACAGGTCTTGAATATCTGCAGAGAAAGAGAATCCACCTCCTCTCTAGGCAGTCTGTTCCAGTGCTCCATCACCATTATGTAAAGGAAGTTCTTCCACATGTTAGCATGAACTTCCTATGTTCATGTAGTGTAGGCCATTACTCTTTGTCCTATTTTTATGCACCACCAAGAAGAGACTGGCCTCATCAATTCACTTCCCTCCTCCCTTTACAAATTTATAAACATTTATCAGATCTCTCCCTCAGTCTTCTTTTCCCCGGGCTGAACAGACCCAGGTTACTCAGCCTTTTCTCATATGGAAGATGCTCCAAGTCCTTCATCATCTTTGTGGTCCTCTGCTGATCTGCTTCCAGGAGATCCCTGTCTTTTTTGAACAGGGGAGCCCAGAATTGGACACAGCAGTCTAATTGTGGCCTCACCAGGGCAGAGTAGAGGAGGAGGATAATATCCCTCAACCTACTGGCCAGGGTCTTTTTAATGCACCCCAGGATTCCACTGGCCTTCTTGGCCACAAGGGGATCATGGCCAACCTGTTGTCCATCAGGACCCACAGGTTCTTCTCCACAGAGCTCATGTCCAGCAGGTCAGCCCCTGAGCTGCATGTGGTTATTCCTCCCCATGTGCAAGACTCTACACTTGCCGTTGTTAAATCTCATCAGGCTCCTTCCTGCCCAGCTCTCCAGTCTGTACAGATCTTGTCGAATGGTAGCACAGCCTTCCAGCATGCCATCCACTCCTCCCAGCTTTGTATCATCAGCAGGTTGCTGATGAAGATGCTGAGCAGGACTGGACCCAGCACTGACTCCGAGGGAACACCGCTAGTTACAGGCCTCCAGGCAGACTCTGCGCTACTGATGACCACCCTCTGACTCTGCTACAGGCCACCTGATCAGAGGGAGCCTGTTGATGAGGCCTCCTTGCTTCAGCAGCAGGGAGTGTTGCTCTTGCAGGCTCTTGTTCTGATGGGAGATTTCAACACCCTATCTGCTGGAATAGTGGCACAGCGGGTGGCAGACAATCCAGGAGATTTCTGGAGTCCGTTGAGCATAACTTTCTGGTCCAGGTATTTGATGGACTGACCCAAGGTGAAGTCCTACAGGACCTGGTCCTCACAAATGTGGAGGAGAGTGTTAGAGAAGTTCAGACTGGAGGCAGTGAAAATGCCATTATGAAATTTGTGATCTGGAGGAATGCAGGCCTAGAAAAAGTAGTCAGGACCCTGAGCTCCAGGAGAGCAAACTTCTGGCTACTCAAGGAATTGCTAGATGGGATCCCCTGGGAAAGTGTCCTTGAGGGTATAGGAGCAGAACAAAGCTGGCAGCTCTTTAAGGACATCCTTCTGAGAACACAAGAGCTCTCCATTCCCCAGCAGAAGTTGAGCAGGGGAGGCAGGCGACCAGCAGGGCTGAGCAAGGAACTGCAGCTTAAACAGAGAAAAAGGGAAAAGCGCAGGAAATGGAAGCAGGGTTGTGTAGCCTGGGAAGAATATAGGGACGTTGTCTGCACATGTAAAAATAAGATTAGGAAAGCCAAGGCACAGATAGAGCTGAACTTGGCAAGGGATATGAAAAATAACAAGAAGGGGTTCTATGGGTACATAGGCAGGAGGAGGCAGGCCAAAGAGAGCATTCCCCCTCTGATAAATGAGGACAGATATCTGGCTTCCTCTGCCATGGAAAAAGCTGAGGTGCTCAGTAAGTGCTTTGCCTTGGTCTTCACTGATGTTCAGGCTCCTCCCCATGGTTGCCAGGACCCTGAAGCCCTAGGTGTGGGTGAGAGGAGTGGATTCCATCCCACTGTAACAGTGGAATAAGTCTAAGACCTCCTCATGAAACTGAATGTATGTAAGTCCATGGGGCCACATATCCATCCTAGGGTTCTGAGAGGTGGTTGATGTGATTGCTGAGCCACTCTCCACCATATTTGTAAAATCAAGGCTGTCTGGTGAAGTCCCCATTACAACATTACAACTATTTTAAAGAAAGGTCAAAAGGATGACCTGGGGAACTACAGGCTGGTGAACCTCACTTCTGTGTCTGGGTAGATCATGGAGTAGATCCTCCTAGAAGCTATGTTAAGGCACATATGAGATAAAGAGATGATTTGAGACAGCCAGCATGGTTTCACCAAGGGCAGATTGTGCCTGACCAATCTGGTGGTCTTCTATGATGGAGTGATGGCATCAGTGGACAGGGGAAGGGCAATGGATGTCATCTGTTAGGACTTCTGCAAAGCCTTTGATGTGGTCCCTCACCATATTCTTCTCTCTAAATTGGAGAGGTATGGATTTCAAGGATGGATTGTTCAGCTCTTGTGAGGCCCCGTCTGGAGCACTACACCCAAGCTTGGAGTACAAGAAAAATGCAGAGTCTTGGAATGGGTCCAGAGGAGGGCCACTAAGATGATCAGAGGGCTGGAGCACCTCTCCTATGAAGAAAGATTGAGGGAACTGGGCTTGTTTAGCTTGCAGAAAAGAAGGTTCTGGGGAGACCTCATTGTGCCTTTCCAATGCTTGAAAGGAAGATATAAACAGGAGGGGGAACAGCTGTATATGAGAGTGGATAGTGATAGGACAAGGGGGAATGGTTTTAAACTGAGATAGGGGAGGTTTAGGTTGGATATTAGGAAGAAGTTTTCACACAGAGAGGGGTGATGCACTGTTCACAGGTTGCCCAAGGAGGTTGTGGATGCCCCATCCCTGGAGGCATTCAAGGCCAGGCTGGATGTGGCTCTGGACAGCCTGGTCTGCTGGTTGGCAATCCTGCACATAGCAGGGGAGTTCAAACTTTGAGGTCCTTTTCAATCCAGGCCATTCTATGATTCTGTGATCCCTGCAGGCCCTGGCAACATTCCTACATTCTTCCCAGGTGGACAGGCCCTTTTTCCACATTTCATGGACCTTTTTCTTTCCTTTCAGTTTATCCATGACTTCTTTGTTCATCCACACAGGCCTCTTGCCGCTTTCCCTGATTTCTTACTCTTAGGGAAGCACCAGTCTTGAGCTTGGAAGAAGTGGTGTTTAAGCACCAGCTCTCATGAGCCTCCTTACCTTCTAACACTCCAATCCATACGATACCTCCAAATAGGTCTTTGAAGAAGTCAAAGTTGATTCTCTTGAAGTCCAGGGTAGAAGCAATTCTACTTATTGCATTGTTTCTTCCACACAAAATCTTGAAATCCGCCATCTCATCATCACTGCATCCCAATCTTCCCCCAGTCTTCACATCCCTGACAAGCCCTTCCTTGTTAGTAAAAGCAAGGTCAACTAGCACACCCCTCCTTTTTGGGTTCTCCACCACCTGTGTCAGAAAGTTATCTTCAGCATACTGCAGAAACCACCTGGGCCTTGAGTGCCAGGCCATGTTTCTTATCCAATAAATATCAGGATGGTTGTAAAGCTGAGAGTAAAGGGAGCTCTATAAACAGGTTTGTAATAGCACTTTTTGGAGATGAGTTTTGTGGCTCTGATGGGTTCAGTGAAAGGATGAAGAGCTCAGCCAAGGGATAGTCACTGGGTGCAAGTTAACACAACAGCGAGTTAAAATGCTTTGAACATCTATGGCCCCATCTTTCCTTCAAGAGGAAGACAATAATGTAGTCATTTGAGAGCTGAAATGCTTTAATTCAGCTGAAGTCTTTGGGCATTAGCTGCGGTTTGTGACATCCAGCAGATCATACACAACCATTGCCATGTCTGGGAACAGGGAGACATGGCTCATAATTGATGGATATGCCAGTTAACCAAAAATTCCCTCCATCTGAGCAAGGCTGAGGAAATCCACCAGACAAGTCTGCTGCCTGTATCTGTTAGGATGCAGTGGCCTCTTTGAAACATCACCACTCACGACCCACCACTCACTACCAACCTTGCATGGGAAACCTGGCCACGTTGTCTCCCTGTATATAGGAAATCAGACATTGCTACAGGGAGACCAAGCTGCCCCATGCTGGGGATTTCCTGCAGAGGAATGTGTCTGTGAGTACTTAACACTCCATCATAAAAAAAAAAAAAAAAAAAAATTGTTTAAATTGACTGAATCTGAAGAAACAATAAGAAAGAGGCATTTTGATAGACTGTCATGAAATTGGGAATGATGGGAGCACTTAGCATTTGAGACTCACCATGATTCAAGTTTGATCAGAATTCTGGCCTTAAAATCTCTGAATCTGTGATTACCAGGTATTCTGAGGTCTAACAATGACCAAAACTGTAGGATGGCTGAATGGCTAGGGTCAGAGGTAGCTTTGCCTTTCTGCCATTTGCAGTACTTAGGTCTGCTTCTGACGTCAGACATCATTACTCTCTGGAGCATCCCTATTTGTGAGGCAGCTACAGAGACAATTTAGTGTTATGTCAAAGATGTCTCCTTTTCTGTTTTCTGCATGCCACATGCTTTTCAGGAAGGTTATACATTTGGCTTTTCAGTGGTTCAGTAGCATTCAGAATTGAAGGGAAAGGAAGTGCAAATTTTAGTGTGCTTTAAGCGGCTTTGAAACAAGGGACAGAAAGAGCGAAGACTAAAAGAGCATATCCAAGCAGACAGGTAAACCTGCAAGCTGCCCCTTCACCCTTGCAAGGACACAACTGACTTTATTCCCACATCCTTCTCTGTGCACTAAGGCAGAGTTTGGATAGACAACAACTGGTTGGATAGAGTCCCATAAGCCATCAAATGGGTCTAGCAATGGTGCTCCCCACTGCCATGGTGGCAGCTTCTAAGGGCACTGACCACCCAGTGGGATACTGTTGTGTATGGTTCAGCATCAGAGAATAAATGTTTCTCCTTTAAGAACCTATTCCTGGAGGACACCTGGATGGAAGCTGAAAAGCAAATATGAAAAATATAACTAGTTCCTCTGTTTTGCTTCTTTTCATCTAGGTTTTCCAACACTGCAATATCAAACTTTGCTTCAGCTTGGACTTCAGTTGCTTTTGAGCTAGACCAAACCAGTACTAAACTCCTCGACAAGTTAGTTTAGTCCAGGGCCATGTGGAATGGCTACCTTTCTCCTTGGGAAAAAGGAATTCAAGTGTAGAAGACCTGCTCACATATGTGCTCACCATTCAGTGATGGAAACCTATAGGTTCAGAGCTGATTGGAGCAGACACAGTAACATTGAGTTTTATACTTGATTACTTCAGAAAAGTAGAAAATAATCAATGAATCCAGCTGGTGCCATAAAATATATTTTGAAGATGTTTTAAAAAATAATTTAAGTCTTAACATTCTTGGTCACTTAAAATACTCCATTAGGAATAGCCAAAAGCAGCATTAAACTACTATGTTCAGTTGCCTGTGAATGCAGGATTTTTGTGAAATTAGAGGATTTAAGGAAGAGGCAGATTTGTAGTTCTTTAATGGATGCATGGTTAAAATTCTGCCTGTGGAAAGTAGTATTTTTTGTTTTTATTGCTGTAGTACATAGAAGTGCTAAACTTGTGGCATTTGATTTAGGAGGGCAAGGTAAATTCAAACTTAGTATAAATGATTTTTTTGGTTAATTACTAAGCAATTTTAAAATGGATTTCCCAGAAACATTGTTTAGTAGAAGTACTTAGAAGTACTTGAACCTGACAGGTAGTATTTTCGATACAGTTACACTTGTTTTCTATTATTTTAGGAATTCAAATCATATTCCCTGTTCATTCACTCACATCTGTATTTATATACTTCCCTAGACCTGCTGCTGCATTTCTACACTTGTTCTGCCAAAGAAAAGTATAGAGCTGTCTAGAACTCATCCTGCTTTCAAACAAACTGTTTACTTTAAATCAGTTTTTATAGCAGTGGTGATTTAACTGCAAATGGGAAACGTCAGCATAGTTTTCTTATTAACACTCTATCATGGAATATGCTTCAATTATTTCCCCTCCTTCTCTGCATTTGCCAAAGAAAGCAGCTAAGCCACCTGCTGCTTTTACCGTGACTGCTCCATTGCCTGGGAGGAGGAAAAAGCTGTTCTTGATGTGGCGGCCTGTGCCAGCACACAGACACAAGGCACTGGTCACTCTAACATGGCCAATAGTCTATTCTGGGGGCACATCATTTCCTGCAGCAGCATCAATCTCTTGTCATGAGCTCTTCCACCAGCCGCAACCAGGGCTTCAGAAAGCTGCAGGGTAAGAAAGCAGGGTGGCAGAGATCCAGAATGCCTCCTTTGCGTTTTGTCCACATCAGGAGACATGGTTAGACTTACAGCAAGCCATCCAACTTGGAAAGCACAGCTGCTAGAACTCAGTGGCTTTGACTAGAGATATCAAGCAAAGTAACCACTCATCACAGACCCTGGAAAAATCATTTAAATTCCATTTCAGTAATTATTACAGAACACCACTAGATCTTCCTTTATTACTTCATTTTTTGCAAGATAGAAGCCAGTGGCTTTCATACTAAACTAAAATTCAATCCATCATAAAAAAAATTAATCATAAATCTAGACTATGTTTAGCAGTGAACAGCAACAGTTATAAATTAGACCTCACAGTCTCTGCAAGACTCATGGCAGACTCTATGCAGCCATCAAAGTTGGAACAAGTAAATCCATCGCCCCCACAAATCAGGAGAGGTTGAGTATGAAGAATCATTTGTCCTGAACAATTGGGCACTGCTTTTGTAACCTGAAAAAGAAAAGAAACAGGGAGATACAAAAGAAAGTATATTATTTATCTGGATTCAATGCCAGAAAGATCAGTACTACCTAGAAAAATGTCTTCATATGAAATGCTCTTTCCATCCCAGATTTTAGATTCTAATATTAACCATCAAATAGTAAAATATTTATCTTGAGGAGTTAAGTAATTAGAATAATGCTCTCCTGCATATGGAAAGCAGAAATTTTACTGCCCTGTCCAGTCTTATTCTCAGTCTGTTTCAGCAGAAATAAAGCCTGATCCTGGATAGTTCATGATGGGCAGCTCAACCCAAAAGCCTTCACATGAAAATGGTTTCTTTTGTTTCAAAATCTTCCCATCACAAAATGTGTAAAAAATTAGGAGTTCAGGAGGTAAACACTCAGAAATGGGAGATGACAAAACATCAAACAGTAAAGAAGTTCATGGCTTGAACACACAGAAATCAATACAGAAACTTTGAAGGATTCAACTACTGTGCTCCATAGTTGTTGGCTTTATTTGCTTCCTTCATCATCTGAGACTACAGCTGAGGCAAAGCATTTAAATGTTAATAGAGCAAAGACATTTAATCCAAATAAACCAAGTCCTCTGCCCTCTGACTCACAAAGATAGCAGGCACGGGAACTGTGCACCAACACCACTATACTGGAAATCTGGTCAAGCACGTGTGCTAGATCTCATGGTCTTACAAGATCTAAACATAGATTAGAAAAGCCATTGGCTTTTTATGTTATCCTGTCTATTCTCTTAAATTAGGATCACTGTGATGCCACACTGACTTAATGGACAGAAGTTGAGCAGCACAGCCCCAGAGGACCAGCTCTGCTCCTCTTTTCCTTGTATATGTCCCCTCTGTTGGCTTCTCTGAGAGCCAGAGAGTGGGATAGCACGGCAGGAGAAGGAAAACACTGACTGTCCACATTGTACCAAGCCAGTACATTCCAGAGTAGCACTGGTGTATGTCAGAACAGAGATAAGGCAGCAGGAGCAGCAATGGTAGGCATAATGGCAAAGAAGGTCCACGTAAAACGAAAAAGAGAAGGGTGAGACAATGCAGCACAGATTGATGATGTAGTTATGAGAGAAGAAACACTGGAAGAGATGTTCTGGTAAAAGGAATGACGAAATATGACCCAAGGATGAAATGCTGAAATAGAAGAAAAAACATCAAGAGTGACAAAGAGAGAGGAAAAAAAGCAGCACAACGATGGAGCATAAACAGAGATCAAACCACAGAGATTATAAGGCATGATATGGAGAATGTAATTTTCTTTCCATATTCCCTTGATTTTCTGCCTTGCTTTTGGTCCAAAGATATGTTTTGGGTTCCTGTGCAGTAAACTGTTACTGAGCTCTATTGTGGCAGTGTCAGCTCCAGTGAACAAGATCAAGACCCAAGGCAACTTGCTGAGTCCAGGGGATTCTTCCAGTGACTCAGATGTAGCTCACCGTTGGCAAGAAGAAGGCCCACAGTTATAGAGCAGCCACAGAAATCAATGCACTACCAAAAATAATCCTCACTACAAAAGCAGTAAGCATGCACACATATACATATGTAGAGGCAAAAAGTGAGACGCAATGCACAGGTGTATGTAGTGAAGTCTAACAAAAAAAATCCCAGTCATATGCATTTAGAACAGGTATTGTCCAAAATTACTTTCAGCTACATAGCCCAGCCTGCTGGATCTCCAACCTTGGAAGACTTAGTGACTTTTACAAGGGTGGATAGTGATAGGACAAGGGGGAATGGTTTTAAACTGAGATAGGGGAGGTTTCGGTTGGATATTAGGAAGAAGTTTTCACACAGAGAGAGGTGATGCACTGTTCACAGGTTGCCCAAGGAGGTTGTGGATGCCCCATCCCTGGAGGCATTCAAGGCCAGGCTGGATGTGGCTCTGGGCAGCCTGGTCTGCTGGTTGATGACCCTGCACATAGCAGGGGGTTGGAACGAGATAGTCATTGTGTTCCTTTTCAATTCAGGCCATTCTATGATTCCATGAAGACTTTAATACTCAGCAGGAAAAACCCATGGTGGAATTGATCTAGAATTGGCAACGGTTATGCTTTAAGCAAAAGGCTGAACTACAGACCTGAAGAAGTCTTTCTGTGGTCCAATTTATATGATTCTGTGTTTTGCCAAAATCCCTTGCACATGTAAAGTGCCTCTGTACAAGGGATGGTTTGGGATGCTCGTGGCTCTGAAAGCTAATAGTGTCTTATCATAATTAAAGCAGGGGATCCAGAATTGCATCTGCGCTGATCAGTAGTGTAAGTAGAAGTTTGGAAGTCCTAATCCCTCATCTGCCATGGATAATTGTAATGTCTGCATTTTAATCCCAGGATTGTGTTTGGCCATGTGAAGGACACTACAGATGGATTTAATTAACAAGCAGGATAAATCCTGTCTAAAAGAGTCAGGGGAAAGATGCACCAATCTTATCAGTTCCCCTTGCTTCAAAGACAACAGGTTATTATAACTGAAAGTAAAGACAGCTTTGTGATAAAGGGGGAACTCTGTTCCAGATACTTAATTCCGGTAGTGATTATTTTACAGGGTGCACACCTGGCAATAGAGATCTCTTACTGAGGTAACTGATCTGACCCTATGCTAACTTATTCGCAATTACATATTTACATTCACCCACTGAATTAAAGATTAGTGATAATTCTTCCTGTGACACAGACATAAAACTCAAGCAACCACTGGAACTGGTGATTTTAGTTGGTAGCAGCAGATTAGGTAGCACGCAAGAGAGGCAGAAGATAGTGGGAAGAGCTGTAAGTTGTACAGTGGCATGGTGTTCGAGAAAAGTTCAATGTCATGAACATCAGCATTATCTTCTGAACAAACATTGTTCCTGCAATCTGCTGGAAATGTGGCTGAACGTAGTGTTAAAGTTATTGCAGCTAAGAGAAAAAAGAATCCCAGGGGCAGAATTGCATAGTTCAGCTGCATGCTGTTTCTCTTCACGGTAAGTGTGGATGAAGTGACAGATTTCTGGTAGCAACTGTTTTATCAGCATAGCCTCATCTAATTTTGTTTAGAAATACTTCTTACTTTGTTTTGGGAGCCCTTTCCAGACTTGATCAACCAAGCACTTGATAAAAATCTCCGTAACACCTCCAGCGTTTGTGCTCACATGCAGTTTGAAGGAAAAAGGTAATGCATAAGAAAAGAAGACAGAATCAGAAAAGGGTGAATTAACAATGGCAACTGTACAGACATGCCATAACTAACAAAAAAAAACCCTGAACCAATAAACAGGAACACATAGAACACATGATATGAAGCACCTAACACATAAATGCATATGTTAATGCCATTTTCATATGACAACAAACACTGTGCACTGGAAAGTGACTTGTAGACTACCAATAATTAATTCACAGAAAAATAAACTTTGTCCTAACGAGACCAGATTCTCGTCGCTGGATGCTAATCAAGGGGTACAAGCAGACTTCACAGCCATCATCTACAGTAACTTTTCCAGACTTCATAAAAGGAGAAATTTTTAGGGGACTGCCTTAAGTAAATATTTTGCATTGACTTCCACATTCAGTTTCACCAATGTAATTTAACTTAAGAGGCTTTGGGTAAACACGTAGATATACACCAATCCTTGAGGAAATTGCCAACAATTTCCTTGGATTTTTAAGAGACGTCTGTAAAATATACACATTTTACTACCCTTAGGTAGTTTACATTAAAATACTTTTTGCATAACATACTGTTAAATTGAAGCAGGCCAAATCAAATAGTAACAATTAGTATATCCAAACACAAGAACTCTCACTATTCTGTGGTAGGGTAGGAGTTTTGCTAATAAAGCCACATGCTTTCAGAGGCAGAAGAGACAGAGTTAGTCATATTTTTAAATACGAAAAAGATCTCAGCAAAGTATGTGGGATTTACTTCCTTCCTGTGCACTGCTCCTATTCCTTCTTATGAGGATTGTTGCATAACTTAACACTAAGCCAGGTCTACTACATGAAAACATGACTAGAAGTGATCTGGCTATAGCTAGCCAGCCATGAACACTGCTCGTGGCCACTTGGAGGAGGGCATTATGGGTATTGCATGGATATCTCTTCCTTCTCCTGGCTCTGAGGATGAACACCACCGGGCTGCATGATGTCCTTTTTCTCAGGATACCCACTGTGCCTGTTCCACAACAATACCCTCCCAGCTGCTTGATCAACCATGGGTTACCTGTGAGTATCTCCACTTGTGACACTTTACACTAGCTGCTTTGGGCAGGGAGGGCACAAGATTCTCCAGGTGGCTGAGAATTAGCTGCTGCACCTCTGCAGGATCTGAATCCAGATGCTCTTTTCCAAACGTCACCGTTGTATGAACTACAACAGAGGGTCCAATTTCATGTGACTCTGAAATGAAGAAGAGAGATGCTTCTAAAAGATTACTCATTAATATTTGCATTCCCTCAATACTGCCCATTGTGTCTCTCTCTAGCCTAGAATTAAATATGTATCTGCAGCACCACCCTGTTCCTCCAGTGGGAGAAATACAAGAAACAATACAAGTTATTTACAAGAAGCGCAGTAGAGAAATCAATACTTTTTTCAATATTTGTAATGGCTTTCCCATTGCAATACCTCTACTTTTCTCCTAGAGGAACCCCAAGGCAAAGGACAAAAG